ATAGGGGAATTTGTCGGTCATATATAAAAGGTTCGCAGACTAAACGGATGTCACAAATCTCTTAGTTTGCAGGATTGGGTCTATCACCGAGGTCTACACTTATCTTTCGGGAGGGTGTAATATTCGCGGTATCAGACACGATTATGCAAACTATTGGACGAATGAGATCCATTTGGTCTCATTTTTTAAAAATTAAAATATACTACTTTCAAAACCCAAACTATATATCTTTTATATTTAAATTAAATCTTAAAAAATATTTTCATATATCATATTTTTCAAATAAATCTAATCAATCGAAAAAGTTGACCGACATGTTGTTTTCCACATTTTACATACATGATTATAGTACTCTGAATAGTGCCACTACTAAATCCATCAGAATTGAACTTGGGCTTCTTTTCATTAAATCTCTCTGATTGATCCACATGCTCTCTTTCATCATACTTTTTCTATTGTGTGTCTTCTTACGCTTCTGAAGAACTTGAAAATCAACCTCTACTTGACTAGCTCACTCTACTAACACCATGTAGTCATCAATCTCCAAAAGGCACCAATGACTTCCTAATCAAATCCGTTATTCTAGAACAAAATCTATAACATTTCTCCTATACAGTAGCTATCAACTACGGTTTATGCCTGGATAGTGCAGTGAACTCTACTTCATACTATATAATTGTCTTCTCTCATCGCACCAAATTGATGAATTTGTCATTCATATGTCTTCTAGCGGATAGAGATATAAATCTTTCTTTGAAAAACTCTGCAAAGTCCTCCCAACTTATCACCATATTGGGTATGTTCTCTAGTTTGTCCCGACGTTGCCGTTGTCGCCACCTTTTAGCTTTTACATCCAACACAAAAGTAGCTAATGGTACTTTTCTTTCACCCGAACATGCATATTTTCTAGTATGTTTTCTATCCTCATCAGACAAAAAAGTACCTAACGACGTTTTCTTTCATCTGGACGTATCATATTGTCTGATATTTTTTCTATCCTTATCAACCAATTATCCGCTTCAATTGGATCTTCAGTTCTTTGGAGAAAAGGTGGACACATATTTTAAAATTTTTTTAAATACTTATCCATAACAACACGAAGTTGCGGTTTGGACTCCTAAATTAATTGTTTCATCATCCTTATCATCTGGGTCGGGCATTCGTGTTCACATTTATAATAGGCGACACTTCATTGTCTAATGGATTCCCCTTTTCTATAATCTTGGTTGCATCAATTTGCCTGAATTAACATAGTTACTTTGTTAGAGTTAACTTAACATTTCAATTTTATTATTATTATTAATTATTGTGTAATTATTCTTTTGACTTTTGTTACAATTCGGTCTGAGACTTGGAATTAATCAAGATGGGTACATACGATTGGACTGTGGAAATTAAATTTATTTTTTCCGGTTATTGCAAACTAATTATAAATTTCCTTTAATATATTTAAATTATAATTTATGTGACGTCTCGAATACCTGAGAGAACTGAAGAGGGGGAGAGCATGCATGTTGTTGGGAAAACATAAGGGTAATATCGCTCTATTTATTGTCACAATTGACTTACTTGAAGGTCAAGTGGCTTTGGAGGAAAGGACTGCGACATTCTGGTTGAACGAGAGAAGACAAGCTCTCGTGAAGTGAGAGAGCAAAGGATACAAGTGCAGGAGAAGATGAGCATCAGTCGGAGCTTTCACCTAGCCGACGTCGAGAGGCGGCATTGATGTCAAGCAGAGTAGGAGTCGACGTCAGTGTTGTGTGGCCAATTGAAGGAAATTGAGGGGAAGGAGCCTTCGTGCGTAGGAAGGAGGTAGAATCACGTCCATAAGGGTAGAAGAAAAATTTCACATGGTTTAGGGCTCGATTAGGACTTTAAAGGTAAAATTTAATAATTTTGTTGATTTAATAATGTTAATGTTAATAAAAATTTTTATTAAATTAGGACTTTTGGTTAGAATTTTATATTAGAGGGGAATAGAAGACGAAGTGTGAGAAATAGAGTAGAAAGATTGACATTAATAAACTTCGGTAAGGTAAATTTGGGTTTATATTATAATTTAATTAATTAATTTTAATAGGAAAATATAGTAATTTGGATTTCATAAATTAAAACGATGGAAGTTATTACTTAAATAATGTAAATTTAATAATTAATTAAAATAATAAATAAATTAAATTTTAATAATATATACCATGTTTATTTTAAGTTTTCAATTTTAGAAGAGTCGACGTCAAGACAAATAAAAGAATAAATTAATTGAAATCGAAGTGAGTACTTTTACTCATAGATTTATAGTAGTATTTTTGTTTCTTCTCAATCAATTGCATTAATAGTTATTAATATTTATAAATTCATATTTCAATTTATTCAGATTTATATACTTTTCTTTTAATTGATCATATTTGAATGTTAGGTCTCCTTTTTGTAGGAATTATAACATGTTATTTAAAGATTCTTCTATATTATATTGTATGACAGGATAATTGTATGAATTTGATTTTATATATATATATATATATATATATCGATGCATATATGCTTGCCGGTGCATACTTGACTATGATGGAGTCAACTCTTTATAGTATTAGAATGAGAATGCTAGGATACCCGTGCGCGTTAATGAAAAAAGATATTGATATTGAAGTACTTTAATTTGCATAATTTTTAGACGGTTGTTTATATTACACTTATAAATAAAATGCAAACTGAATATATTTGTGATAGGGTTGGTGTAGCTCCAATGGGTGTAGCTCCAATAGCTCCAATGGTGGACAAGATTAGAGAGAGTTGTCTTAGATGGTTTGTTCACATTAAACGTCGACCACCTGATGATCCTATTAGGAGAGCAGGTATTTTAGATTCGGCTTATGTTAAGAAAGGTAGAGGTAGACCTAAAAAGACTTGGACATATTGTATAAAAAATGATCTTAATCTATTAGAGTTAAATGAAAATGTGACACTCAATAGGACGCAATGGAGGAAAGGGATTCATGTAGCCGACCCCACTTAGTGTGATAAAGACTTGTTATTGTTGTTATTACTCTTGTGATGATTATACGCATATATAATAATATAGATATGAATACAATAAGATTTATTAAATAACATTATATTTTTAAAATATCAAATATTTATATTATTTTTTAAAAGCTTAACTGGTATATATATTGTTTTTTTTCCCTTGTATTATTGTAGTTTAGGAGTGTATGTACTGACCTTGGTTAGCTCACATTTGTTTAAACTAACTTTACATGTGCAATTAATTTATTAAATGATGAGCAATAGAAGAGATAATGTTTATAAAAAACACGGACAATTTATAATGAGGTGAATTTCTTTATCTGTTTTAATTAATTTAATTAGTGACTCTTTCATTTGTTAATATTTAGTTATAAAAAATAAATATAAAAAAATTAATTCTTATTGTTCGATCATGCGTACCCACCTTAGTTAATTTCAAGACACGGTAATATTATTAGCCATTAATTCAACATAATTTATTATTTTTAATTAATTAATTTAAACAATCTTTTTTTATGATTGAAATATTTATAAAGTATAATCTTTGCATGAGTTCAGTTAACTTTATTCTTATAATTTTTTTTTATTTACTTACCTTATAACTATTTGATCTCTTTATATCTTATATTTTTTGAATATTTTATTGGACTTTTAATAATAATCACTTTTTAATTAATAATATTTTAAATTTCATTCAAAACTTCTGAGAGAGAGAGAGAGAGAGAGAGAGAGAGAGAGAGAGAGGGAGAGAGAGGAGGGGAGAGAGAGAGAGAGAGAGAGAGAGAGAGATGAGCTGTTGAGATGCATTCTCGAAAATAAGTAAATGATCTTGCCTAGTTATTAAACACTCCTTGATCATTAAATTTTAAATTATTTAATATTATTTTTTTATTTTATTTAATCAAAATTTAATATTATTTTTAATTAAATGTACATAATTTTTTGGTTATTAAATATATGATTGGAATTCCCTGACATCTTATACTGGTTTATGACCTAGATCTTTATTAACTAATATTTTCAAACTTTTTGCACGTGTGATTGAGATTTGGTCAAATTTCCTTATATTTTTGGTTCTTTTTTGCGATTTGAATCCTAATACGCCACTCGGATCATCATTTACCAAATATATTGCAAATTTTTTATTTTGATTAGTTTTAATTTATTTTTGGGAACAAATTATAAGTGATTATTTGATTTTGCATTGAAATTGATGAAATCTTGATCTTTAATTATTTTTTATGCATATCATTGTAAATTAGCACAAGTGAATTCTAGACCTTCGAATGCACTGTATCAATTCAGCTTATTTAAGATGCTTAGTTTTTATATTGTTAAATTTTAGTCAATTGATCTATTTTGTGCTTGGATTATAGGTTGCAAGGAATCAATTTGATCCTGAGTTGCTGGTTTACAATGCTGGCACTGATATTCTAGATGGAGATCCTTTGGGAAGGTTGAAGGTACTATCTTAACCATTTATCATTTTTTGTTTAGAGTTGTTTTTTTATTCAGCTCTGATATCCTTTGCTGGGCGTATAAATCACAGTATAAGATTTATGCACATTTTTCGCGTATGATCTTCCATGTGTTGTTCACCTCCATACTTGGGTGCAAATTTGGTTGACAACTTAGGTTCGGGTCAAAGTTGACAAAAAAAAAAATTATTTATTTTATGGGTCAAAATATTAGACTCAAATTTGACTCATCTAACATGTTTATTGTATAGATCTTGTAATTTTTAGGACCAACATGACCCAATTAAATTAAATAGGACCTATCTAATCCAATTAACCCAATTGAAATCTGCATAACCCAAACCCAAATAGTTAATAATAATTGGGTTTACATGTTTGACCGGGATGGTAATTAGTTCAACCAGAACCTAGATTTTTTGGGGCAGATTTGGGCTAATGACTCTAATTTTTACATTGTAACCATATTAAAGCATTTCTGTTAGAAAATGATTCTATATACACACATACATACTAACGAGTATAATTGCACATGAATAAAACTTTAAAATTTAAAATAATGTTTTAGAACCTTAGATTCTACTTATTTATTTGAGGTTTTTCCTTGAAGATATCAAATAAAAAGGTTTATCATTACAAGTAGTTGTAACAATAATCATTTTAATGAAAAGGTTATGAAATTTTCGTAAACCATATTTGACAATTTTTTAGGAATAATTTTTGTTAAAAAGCAGTCATATTATAAAAATTTGGATTATTCATGCTTTTTATTTCCTACTTGAAATTCACTTGTTTCATGGATGCTGGGCTAAAAATAAATTAAGTCACATATTAATTCAAAATGATCAATTCATTATATAAAATTGGAGACGATGAGTGATGTAAACTAAAAAAAATAAAAGGGGTTCATGAAAGAAAGATAATTCTTTTGCAGAACAACTTCGGAATTCTTTTGAAAATTATTGTAATTTTAATAAAATAATTTTTAATTACTTTAGAGTAAATGCTATAATCTTAAAGGTTCATCATGGTAATTTCTAAGTAACCAAATAGGCTTTAATAGCCATAAGTTAAAGACAAATGAATGCAGAATCCTCATGCAGCTTGGAGAATATGGGGTTTAAGGAAATTTTTAATTTAAGTAGTTCATTTCAGGATGTATAAATCTCTTGCAAGAGATAAGTATCTTTGCAAAGGTAACAAGCTCAATTGAAATCTATTAATCCTCGGGGCAATTAAAACATAAAATAAATCAATCCAAGGAAAATATCTACACTATTCTTATAATTAAAAATTCAAAAAATAATTTGCATTTCAAATGCAGAGGAAATTAAATCTTGCTATGCGGTTGTCGATCAATTTTTCGATTTGAAATTTTTTTTTAATTTATTTTAATATAAGAGGTATATAATTTGGGTTTTGAAAGTAGTATGATTTAATTTTCGAAAAATGAGACCAAATGGATCTCATTAGTTTAATATTTTGCATAATCGTGTCCGATACCGCGAATACTACACATTCCTGAAAGAAAAGTGTATACCTCGACGATTGACCCAATCCTGCAAATTAAGAGATTTTTTACATCTGTTTGACATGCGAACCTTTTATGTGTGACATACAAGTTCCTCTACATAATATAAAGATTAAGTAGGGTTTATTTTACCTGGGTTCCAAGTTCACTATAGAGGCAAGCCTCTATAGTTAATTATATCCCAAATGACGGGAGTCACTTGAGAAAACTCTCAATGATGATCAGAGATATTAGTCTTCAAGAATTCGAGGTTTATGTTTTCACGGTAGGACGTAGAAAGACAAGTAGGAGTGGTTCAAATAGGAACATTTATTTTCAGGAGTCCAAAGGAATGAAAAGGTGGGGGACGTCACAGATCTTGAGGAGAACCCTCAGTGACTTCCCAAACTATACTACTGTGTGTCTGCGTTTTGGAGATATTATTATTCAATTATTAAATCTTGCCAATTTTATTATTTGAGACTTACATTTGCATAATATATGATTATGCAAATAGTCCACAAAGAGATGAGTGTTTACGTCGTAACAAACGACAACCTCAGAACCTGAAGTGAATTAAGACTTATGTTGCACAACATGGTTGCACCGGTGCCAAAAGAGGATGTGAGGATTTACGTCGCGTTGAGCGAGCTACGTCGAAGTCCTATGAGTTGTTATTGTTTAATTCTAAGGAGAGGTTTGCTGTTGTAGATTTGTTTGATCTCTCGAAAATGTCCTTCTGCAGGTCCTCGACGCGCTGCCCACGACGTATGCTTCAAGCTCCTTGTTGAAATAGCAGTCATAAGGTCTAAAATTCAAAAAGTTACCAGGTATGTTTTAATGTTTTGATTTTGTATTTAAAGTAAATGAATGCAGGTAAGAAAGTAATGTGTAGTAAATAAATGAACTGTAGCTCATAAAATAAAATGTGTATCAGGACTTCTGCTACCGCTGCATGGTCAGTTCATAAAGCATAATATAATTTGCATTGAATTTAGATAAATTACAAAAAAAGAAAAAACAGGACTTGTAGTGCGAAAAGCAGTAAAACGAGTTGTAACAAAACACGAACAGGCAAAGCAAAACCCGTGTTCACATATGGAAGACCAAGACTAGGTATGAGACATCAGTAAAGGTGGGGGCTCATAGTTGTACTGTGTGCTTCCCAACATTGGGTAAGAGCTCCCAAACCGACAATGTAAGGAAGGCTATCCATAACCTCAATCCAAGTGACTAGCCATAGACCTTTGTAAGTTATACCAAAATTCTTTGATTTTTCATGCAAAAGTTGCTGTTTAGACTTACATGCAGAGTTCACTTTAACAGAGAAAAGAAATTTTTATTTTTATTTTTGTAAATATTTTGTAAAATAGTGCAGTCCGCAGGCTAATTACTCTAATCAGGCTAGGACTATTGACGATTTTAGAGCATCGGGGGCAACAATTTCACCAAGAGTTGGCGAATAGTATCATCGGTCTTTATTCGTTCCTCTCATTGAAGGTCGTTGAGGTAGACGATATTATTCTAATAATCTCACTTCGTAAAAATCTGGTCAGACCTATCTAGCACAAACAACAAGAACACTAAAAACAAGAAGAGAGTGTCAATCGTAAATCTGTCAAACTCGTCAGTCAAAAGTGTCATTTAAACATCGTTGTTGATTTAGTTGAGGTTCATCATTTATTTTATGTTCGTCTTCCCTTGGATGATTCAGATGTCAATGGTTTATCTACAGTGACAAACAACCGAACTTTTTAAAGAGAAAAGGCAATGATAAAAGATACATCTGTCACTATGACAGTCTAGGTTTACTACAGTAGTCCTGCAAAATAAAGTTAGCACTTCCTAAGCTTACCATGATAACCTAAAAACATGTAAAAGAAATCTATGCAAATGATAAAGACTATTTACTCATTCTAATAAATGTCCAGTGAGCAAGCAAGCACAAGCACAACAATTTGACCTCACTCGGTCTAATCATATAAGGTCTAAAGATTATTGAATTACAATCGGAAAAATGTTTAAAATATAATTACTCATTTCAAGGCTTCTCCATTCTACTTTTGTCGATCATCCAATTTAATAATTTGAATTGCCAAAATCTAACATCATGCAGTAAAATTTAATGTTGCAAATTCTTCTTGTTTTCGGATTTGAATATTTTCCACCTTGAATTTATGACATTATTAACTAATAAAATTTATTTTAATAATTAAATCATTATTTATTTGATTAAATTAATATTCAATTCAAATACTCATCTTTTATGCCACAATTTCTTTTTTTCCTTCAATCTCCATTTCTCGATTTAAAAATTTTCTGTTTTATCAAAACTTAATATTAACATTTAATCTCATTTCATATAATTAATTATTCTAAAGATATATACCTCATTAAATGTTTAACATTTACCTTCTCCTTATGTGAAATCAACAATTAAAATCTCTAAATCTTATAAAGTAAATAATTTTCAACCCGTCACATCCTATCATTAAATAATAAAATCCGATATAATAAGTTATGACATTACTTATAACAATTATATATTAACTATACGATAATCCTAACATGACTATTGTGTAAAACAAAACTTAGGTTCTGTGTGGCGCAACTTCCTTTGTGCGGTGCGGCGGGACGCCGCGGTTTGGCACTGTTTGGCGCGACGTTTTGCTCGTTGTTGCCGCGAATCTGGGCGAAACGCCGACCACGGGTGAAACCCTGCGACCCGTGTTACCGCTAAGCTTTTTACTCTCGTACCCCTAATTTCTCCTTCGTAAGTTCTCACGCGTTCTGCCCTACAACCCGCCAGGAGGAAGGAGGAATGGTACTGCTGGTGGGAGAAGGGTCGTTCGATGATTTCCTCCTCCCATCGTCGCTCACAGGTACCGTTCTCCTAGGTGCCGTTCACCACTTCCCTCTCTCTCGCTTCAGCTCTCCGCTCAACTCCGTTGTCATCTTCTCTGTCTCCCACTCTCTGGCTCCTTCTGCAAAGTAAAACGATGTCTAATTACATTCTTCTTCCTCTTCTGCAAAGTAAAACAATGTCTAATTACATTCTTCTTCTTCTTCTTTTAAAAAGGAATGTAACTTTAAGTTTGAATCACGATATGTGATTTTGGACAACAGCTAATTCAAGAGAGAAGTAACGAAAATTTATGGAAATTTTTCATGATTTTAGTTGTTTTATTGATAGTTAGTGCATTATACATACCAATTATGTGTTATGTATGTAAATTTAGCTTGTTCGCTGGAATTTAGAATTCTTTTTCTTTATAAGATTTAGGATTCACATACTTATTTATATATGTCCATGTTTCCTTATCCTAAGATTTAAGAATTATTTTATTGATTGTTTATTTTTCTTATTTACATCACCATAAGTATCTTATTTTGAGTAACTTCAATTAGTTTCTAATAATGCTTATATGAAACTTATCTTATTTTGATATGGAAGTTGATATAATGCTGAAGCTTTTTA